ATTTAATTGAAATTTTGAATAAAAATACCTTCCGACATGAAAATATGAAAAGTTCATTTATTTCCATAGGCAACCTCAGAGTACAAAGTGATATGAATTTCTCGAAACTATCACTATACCTTTTACATATTTTTAAGTAACTGATCTAAAAGTTGATACAAGAATAAATTTGGTTTTGAGGAGCTGTCCAATAAACTGGATATACACTAATGCCATGCTATGACAGTTCTACTTATGAATCACAGCTGACACTACAGTAACATCACTTTATAAATCTCATGAGAATTTTAATGTTTTACAATCAAAACATAAAACTGCCACTAGTACAGAGACCGTACGATTAGACAAATAAACAAGTGTTAAATAGTTTGCACAAGGCCTGAGTTCACTATAACACATTCTGATTTACAACTTCATCTCAGAATTCTGTACAGCAGGTAGAACTGTTTCAGAGAACTCAAAGACAATACAACTTCAGGGTCTCATTTGATCTGTTGATACAAGTGTGAGGCCTGGAAGGCAAGAGGATTTGATGGATGAATCCAAGGTTTTACTGCCTTGTGTAATTTCCTTGTAAAGCAGTCAAAACCTAACAGAAAGTAAGGTACAAGGCAGGACCTTACTTGAAAATCAGCTAACCCATCTGAAATCCTCCAGATGATAGGTTTCCTCACAGCTATTTCATAGTAAAAGTTCACAATGACTGTATAAAATGCAGCATATCTCTTAACAAAGAACAAAATAAGGGTCACATACACAACAGGATATTTTTTCTGTATTCCCTCTCCCCATATTTGTTTCATTGGGAATGGCACAAATCAGTGATATCCCACCCACCCCCAATAAAAAACTCCTAGTCAATAAACAAAGGTCACTAGAGTCAAAAACTTCATCAGCAATGAGAAATCCAGTGTTCATAAACTTAAGTTTTAAAAACTTTCCTGTTTTGCTCAAGCCATGTAGATACAGGCAGACTAAGCATGTACATTTTTAACAGATAACAAAAGTATCATATAATTCTTAGCCTGTATGGAAGCCTAGTGGAATTTGATTCAAATCTAACTTTTCGTTTAATCTTTTCTCTTCCGGTGCAATTGAACTGAAAAATCTAAAATCCTGTAATCTATATACACATGTACTTATCTATCTACAGACACAGATAACATTATAACAGGGGTTTTAATACAAAAGTTAAAACATTTTTCTTACTTTAAAAGGCCATTGGGGTATTTGTTAAAGTTCCACATAAATGTGAAACAGGTGTTCTTAAAAAGACAAAACTTAACAGAAAAGGAAAGTTTTAAATAATAAGGCTTGAAATGTCATGCACCTATACATCAAAAAAATTCACCTTTTACTTGGGGTACTCAACATCTGTGCAGACCTGTAAGGCCACAACTTTCCCACAACATTTCTAACTTACATCACCACTGAGAGCAGAAGACAAAGTATCTTCATTAAAACAAACTAGAACATTCTACCCATGTTTTCTTTCCCCATCTCCCAGATAATTAGTGGACCCCTTTACATTTCAAAAGACTTCTCTGGTACTACTGTCCTCCTGTGTAAGCAGGTTCCGCAGGCTGTTCTGTGCCTTATTCACAACACTTGTGTGATGAAAAGAAACAGAAAATCTGTTCCCTCCTCCATCCTTGAAATGCCACTTACACCATTTCACTCCCAGTTTCTCTCTTCTTGAGTGAGGCAGACATAGGGGATTCCAAGCTAATCTTTAACTCGGTAGTTTCAAGATTCCTCTCCATCAGCCTAAACAGAGGTGTTTTTTTAACCCTCTTAATCTTTCCAGCTAGCAGGATTAGTTTGTTTTCTAAGACTGAGTTTTCAAAGGATGCTTCAGAGATTTTCATACTTAAAACCAAATGGAAGCAACAGTTCTAATATGTTAAATGCTGTCTTGGGGCAGTTACATTCATTTACTATGCACCAGAGCAGCTAAAGCACAACTGACGCTTATACTTAAGATATGCAGCTATTTCCACTTCCTTTCTCCCTTTCTAGTAAACATAATATAGATAAATCAACTGAAGAATAGAATTTACTCCCTACTGTTTAACTCTCCTTTACAAATGAACGCAAAATAAACCAGTTGGGCTGGGCAGTTCAGCGCAGACCCTGCTCTCATTTCCACAGTGCAATGAAGATCTGCTCGCATTGGGTGAGCATAGTGAATGCACAAGGTGTAGGCTGCAAGGTGATGATATAACCTGCTAGGTTTCCACAGTTCTTCCTTTAAGTTACGTTGAATACAAGGAGAAGAAATTTTGTGTTATTTATAGTATTGCTGAAGGCATTGTAAAAAGAATTTACATTAGGTCACTTTTTCAGTAATAGAACTTGCAATTTCTTAATCAGATACCAATTTCAAACCTGCTCTCCATTTTGTTTTGCATTAGAGCTAGACAGATCCTCTGCTTCAGGCCAAGCCAGATGTAACACTGCTTTCCATCCAAGTCCAGAAACAGAAGGCCCCTAGAACGCCCACATTTTGTAACATTGTCCTTTCATCTTCCTCTTTCCCAAAAACCAAATTGGATGTGAAGTACACCCGCCGTTCTCAAAAAATGGTATTCACTCTGGCTACAAGTCTTCCAGCCTTTTGCAGGGCCTCAGAATGATGTCTTTTACATGGAGAGAGAACTGGACAATGCTTCCTAAAGAAAAACTATTGTAGCAGGATCAAGTGGCTCATGGCCTTGGTAACTTACCTCTTGCAACTCCTCTTTCCATTAAGTTCAGTAGAAATAACCAGAGAACTTCGCACACCCCCAGTTTTCTGACACACTAAGCAGGCTGCACGTGCAAGGAAGAGGGATTTGACCCTCTCATTTTAACTGAAGTAATATTTTCTTTTTTCAAGTAACTGGAAATATTTTGATAGAACTTTCCTAAGCACCCTTTTCAGTTTTTCTGCTCTGGTCATTCTGAAAACTGCAGCAAACAAGAAATCAAATTTATGTTCTCAAATATAAATAGAAAAAAAATCATACTACTTGAGCCAAATAAAGATCTTATTCTGTCACATTACCACTGCATAGAAGACCCTCTCTTAATTTAAACTTGTAGGATTTTTTTTACTTTGTTCTTACAAAATAGATTATATTCTCAGATAGCCCATACCCCAAAGCCCACAGTTTAGGAGGCCTAGTATATAAAAATCAAAACTAAATTTTTCAGTTAATTTTCCCTCCATTATATTAAACTAAAATCCAGTTCTGAAAAGACCCCAGTCCAAGGGGATCAGTGACTGAAACCCCAGATCAGGACATTGACATTTAAGACTGCCTTTACTATGGATGTATTAATTTAATACATTGTAGAGTCCTAAGAGATGCTATTTTTAATATAAACTTATTTTACAAATAATTTAGAGGAATACAGATTCAAGTAATTCTTCAAAGGCTTGCCTTAAGTTACCCTAACAACTGTAGCTTTCAAAAGTTGACATGAAAGAAGACATTAGTGTGATTGAGGGCATATAGTACTAGTAACCGTACATGAACTTAAATAGTATAACAGTTCTAGTATCGTACTTGAATTTACAGATATCTTAACATAACCTACAATGCTTACCACGAATATTAACAGCACATAAGCATCACAATGTGTTAGGTATTGTTTTCTAAACCACAATTTCACTGGTCCCAGGTATTTTAAAATAATAGGACTAAGGCAGCAGCTATAATACATAAACAATTCTTTAAGAAATATGCTTAATGCTATTACTGCTTAGAACTGTGGAAACATAACAAAATACAAGTCACATTTACAGCATAAGGCCCTTTGGTTTCTTAAGCAGCAAATGAAAGAACAATTTCTTCAGTGAAAGGCTTTGAAAAATAAAGCATGTAGGCTTTCCATAAAAAAGGTAACTAGTTCTTTCCGTCTCAAAATAGCCAGCTATAGTCTTCAAAATATCACGTAAGAAAGCTCCTGAAATTCCTAGGAAAGAAAAAGTTAAAACCCAACAGTAGTATTTGACAGAGTAGAGATTCTATCATGGGCAAGCTGAACATACACCTTCTGGGAAGTAGAAGAAACTACTTTTTGGATTTCTGGAGAGCTTTATTGAATTTGGAGTAATACAATAAAAAGGATCTGAAATACCTGCATATTTACCATACGTTCTAGAGGTTACAAATCTGTATTTGAGAAATCACTTCATATTAATCTATCTTTCTTAAGAACTTGAGTTAAAATAAAATTAAAATGAAAGTTTATTCTAGTCAAGGCAATTTATGGCAGTCTGCTTTTTCACACACCATGTGCAACTTGTACAAGGCTCTCCTTCTCTATCTTCCAAATGGAGCCAAAACCTATGAAGCAATAATTCAAGACATTTTTGTGTAACTCTGTGTTCAGTTACACAGAAATATTTAGTTACGCAGTTGGGCAGTCAACGTGTGAATTTTACGCAGAACATTCTTTTTAGGAGGTAACTACTCATACTCTATTTTTCCACACCAGTTAGAAGCAGCATCAAATTAACCAAAGTAGTGGAATATATAATAAATGTGATTAAGTCACCACATGTATTTTAAAATCCTGCTTAAGTGGTATGTTGCTTAAGCTGTGGGGCTGGTAACAAGGATCTTGCATTATAAAAAAGGTTGTAAACCAGCATGACCATTGAAGCAGTGTTCTTACTCTGTCCCAAACTTGCCCAAAATTTTAAAGCAACTTCTTATGTCTCCTGTAGTTTACTACAATCTTAATTCTAATTATCTTGTAAGAGAAGAAATTAAAATATTTTCTCTTCTTAGCCTCTTACAAAGTTACAGGTTAAGAGAGCCTTCTATGTAACATGGCTATCAAAATTTTAGAGGCAGCGTAAGAATTTACTTTGTGCAAATTGTTATAGGGTAAAATGATAGTTTGTGACACATTCAGGCAACAAATCATCAATAAGAATTTAGCAGACACTGAAAGGACTGGGCTGCAGGGTTCCATTCACTAGCATTATTACCCCTTTTAAACATTTCTGTTGATCTTAAACAAAATTTTGCCGGCAATTTCATAGGAGTTGATAGAGTACACTTCTGAATAATTCTGAAATACTGAACTTCTTTTTTGACAGAATATATGCATCCTACCTTCAGTGCTCTGATGTTCAGTAAAGAGACAGGAACTCTTTAGCACGTCAGATGACTTTGCATTTACACAATTCTCTGCAGTAACAGGTGAATGCAAAATCAGTCTTTTTTCCAGTGCAAAAGTCTTTACTTTGCTGGGATGAAAGTTTCCCCAAGTCATGCTTTTACTAATTAAGAAAAAGATGTTAATCAGCTTACCCATGATCCAATTTCATCAATCTTTGAAATAAGAAAACAACACGTTACCCAAAAAGATCTTTTAAGTCATTGCTAGCTGAGCTGCTGTTTGTCATTGTGTTCGCTGGTTGTGCAAAGTTCTGAGGAGCAAAGAAAGGATTACCCTGTATACCAAAGCCAGGCTGTCCTATCATGTTCATCTGAGGTCCCAAGACTGAACTGCTCGCATTTGGGGAGCCTTGTGGGGGTACAAACTGATTAACCCACTGGCTTGACTTCTGTTGAGCCAACTGTTTCATGCTAACTTTGGGTTTTTGAGGACCAAAAAGATTATCTAAAGCAGACATATCTGGGGGTTTGTTTTGTTGTGTCAGTGGAGTGATTGCAGATGCAGCATTCATAGGACTGTAATTTGGCATATTGGCCGTTGGTACAATGTTCATCTTGGTTGTTCCTGTTGCACTTGGACTGAAGAAATTCTGAGTGGCGAGACCAGGTCCCATTGTGAATCCAGCAGTCTGAAAACCCATATTAGGATTTAGTCCGTTTGTTACATTTATTTTTGTGTTGTCAACAGGTGATGAAAATCCCATTCCAACACCCATAGAAGGGACAGAAGAGAAGCTGTTTGAAGATGCAACTTTAGCCTTGTTGATAGAATGACTAGTCAAAGATGACATATTATCTATCAAGGTATCTGTCAAGTCTTTTGTCTGCAAAATACATAAAATGCAATTAAATGCTTTTCCTGCGCAAACACTCTAGCAACAGTCTTTATCATTGCTCCTGCAGAAGAAGCATTTGTTTTTCAGGAATTAAAATTTACTGCATGGAATAGCGTATGAAATGTAATTATACACAAGAGCAGTTAGTTTGTATTTCTCCTTTTCTACTTAGAATTTAAACAGATTTAATTTGTCAACTAAGACTATACACAAAGTACTACCGTAACTATCTGCTTATATAATCCCAAGCTCTTTACATAGTTAATTAATAAGCTCTTCAGTGCAAAACCTTTTTTAATATGTGCTTTTTCCTTATCTACAACAATGGCCTTCCAATAATAATGACATCTTCGGAAACTCCTGCAATTTAAAAAGTGTGAAATATTGCTAATGATGCAAATGGAAGGCAGATGAAAATTTATTTTAGTTTTTCCTCAGTTGTGCCACTGTGCTACCAGTGAAAAAGTTGACTCAAAGGAGAAAATAAATGCACTTGAAAGGAAAAAGCATCACAACTCCAATGGAAACAGTGCAGTAGTTTGTTCTTTCTCACCTGCTTCACTGGAGGTGTTATTGCAGTTGTTTGTGGCTTAAGAGGTTGCTGGTTTTTCAGCTTCTGTGCCTGTTCTTGTTCTTTAGCTAGCTTTTGCTTCTCTTCAAGTGTAAGTGATGCCTTTAAAGGGAAAGTACTGATACTAAGTAGCACAGAATGATTAGTCTTACAGAGCTAAGTTTATTTCATAAATAGAACTGTCATCTCAATAATATGTGGCAGAACAATACCTATTACTTACACAAAAGAGTAAAGTGCTAAGCACAAAATCTAGTATAATATTTACCATCCAGCTAAAAATTACGTAAAGCAAATGAATACACTACCAAAAGTAGAATAATGAGAAATTGGCAGAATTGTACAGACATCAAATAAGAAGGTATCATAACAAAACCATTTTAGCTTTTTCTTAATGTTGGGCATATTGAAAAAGTATTCTTCATGGTTTTTGGGTCTGTATGGTTACCAGCTGGCACTTCTATTGAACTGCAACCAACCATGGAGTCAGAATGGGAATTTTATTTTAAAATTGTTTAAGAGGCTTTTTAGGATTTGAGCTCTATTTTTGTTAATGATGAAAGATAAAATCATAAAATGATTCCCCTGTATTCTAAAGTTAGAGAGTTCAGACAACTAGAAATGTAAATGATAAAATGTATAGATTCTGGGGAGCCATTTACATAATTAATAGCACAAAAAGAAGGTGAAAGAAAATGACCAAAACTTTATCATCATAACTGCTGCCTACTTTACAAAGCTATTTTCCAGGAAAGGCTTTCAGAGAAATTCAAGAATATGACTCGAACATTTTGAACATTTGAACACGTCCATTTAGTGGACCTTCACATGTGACTACGCACAGTGCTGTGCTACATAAAAGCAGTCAGTTTTTCTTTTAAAGCTTTAAATACGGTAAATATTTACACATACTCTTTTTATGCAAATCTATCAGCCTTGTATTAGACAGATGGATGTAACAGAATCCCAAACCAAAGTGAAACGCACCTTTTTCTGTTTTGATGACATCTCATTCTCTTTACTATCGGACCCACTAGTTAGAAGGTCAGTTCCACTAGTATTAAATACCTTGTCAATCTGTTTAAGTTCAAAGAAACAAAACTTAGTTACCTGAAGTGCTGTAGTTTAAGGAAACATAGACTAAGTAATTTTCAATTTTGAATTGCAATATATAAGTAATGCAATAACATATTGCTGCTTACCTGATTACTCGTACTATTGGGTCTTGCCTCTTCAGACACACTCATTTGGTTAGCTATATCCAAGGATCTATATAGGGCAGAGTATACATATCAAAAAAAGATGACTTTGCAGTCACATCCACAACACTAATGCAGCAATGCAGAATTCTTCTGCATTTAATCAATATGAACAAATCACATTATGAGAGCACTGCCACTTTTATAGATTGCCTGCAGGAAACTGGAAAATATTCTAAATTATAAAGGCTTCCCACTGATCATTTCACATAGTCTTAGTTTCTCCTTTTGAAAAGGGTAACACAGACTACAGGTAGCCCAAGTTAATTTGTCTCCAAAATCTCACCTCGTATCAGACTCCATAAAATAGCTCTAAATATCTTCAAATATCACAGCCTTCTAGTAGGCTACAATGTCTATGTTTCTCCAGTACAGTTTTCTCAGCAGCTACGGAAAGGCAACTTAGCATTCAGAATCAAGACATAAACTGTACTAGTGGAGTTCAGTATGAACTTTTAAATTTAATGAATTAAAAATTACTGACTTAAAATAATAAACTACGACTGAACTTAACAAAATTGAAGAATTTGACTTTATAAAACTGCTAATATCACAATATTACCATTCTAGGACTAATATTCTCATAACTGTGCTTATTTGAGGTAGTTCTCTACTACCTAAGAATTACCTAGATTTATTTACTGCTATGGCTAGAATCTTCTCACATTTGCAAAAAGATTAACTGAAATTTATCTCTGCTCACTTGTTCCTTCTCTAATACAAACATAAACTAACACTTACTTCTGTTGTTCTTGCATGACATGAAGTTGCTCAAGTTTTGTTTTATGCTCTGCCTCCAATCTATTAAGCATATCTTTTATAACACAAATAAAAGAACTGAACTGGAAAAGAAATATACAAGAAGTTTGGATTTTGCAGTGATGGAATTCAGACACATATAACCTAAAAAAGTAACACCTCATAGAACTTACAATAAAAATTTCAGATAAAATGCAGATTTCAGAATAATTTATAATCCACCTTCACTATCTTGCACTAGGTACCCCACTACAAGCAGAGTGTATACTGGAACAGTGAAAAATACACATCACTAAAGAAAAAAAAGGGGCAATGCAGACAAAAAAACCCAGAGATGAGTATTACATTCATTAAAAAAAAAAAAATAAATCCTATTAGGTATTCCATTTCCTATTATTTCATAGCAACATGATTGCGATTCCATATTATCTGCAACATTTACAAATAAAAGAAAGGGAAGGAACATTAAGATTGCACTTTAGCTTTTAATTTGAATTGTAATCATGTTAGCAGCTAATTGCTTTTGCAGGATATTTGGAAGGTGATAATATTCATATTGCAATTTTATACTAGATCAGTAAAATCCACTGAAAAATAACAAGATTTAAACATGCAAATACAGCAATAGTGGAAGGTTTTATTTATATGTTTGTTTTTACAACAGGCAGGTATACCATAATGTATGGATTTTTCTCTGACAACAGTTTGAATTTATTCTCTGCCAATTATCAAGTAAAAGCATACAAAACCATCATGTTCCTACCTGATTGAGATTGAGATTGTTCTCAATACTAAGAGGAATCAGATGGGGCAATACTTTTCCCGCAAGCTGTTCTTTCGTAATTCCCAACTTCTTATGAGTAAATGTACATTTGTAAATACCTGACAAACAGCATCAAAATACCAAAAATTGCTAAGTTTAGTAAGCAATGTGAGCAAACTCCAAGTAACACACTCGAATATGTATTGATATCTGAATGTACATTGGCTCTGTGTGCAAGCAGGGACAAACATGATGAAGAGCATCACAAAAGAAAGCTAAGTACTCCTCCACTACACAAATATGTTATAGGAAGAGGCTTTGCTGAAATTCAGAACAAGAGGAGATCCGAAGTAATGCTTTCCAGCTATGAAAACTGATACAAATCAATATATTGATCTGGTCAATTATCCGGGAATATGAATCTTTGAACACATCACGATCAAGTGAGTTACCACAAACCAACAAAATGCCACTGAGACATCAAGCTGCATTAACTAAGGATGTGTTCTCTCCTAGCACACTGAACTGGCTGGTTTTAACTATAACACTGTTCTCTGATTGCATTTTACAAAGACTCCTACCTAGAAGTTCAGGGCTGCATTACACACAGTATCAGAAATGATGTATTGTCTTTATCTGTTCTAAAATCACTGAAAAAAGAACACTGACAGGCACGAGGGATCCAGTGTTAAGCCTACAAGTTCTATAGCATTTCTGACAAGATTCCTCTCCTTAAATAGTCCATCTCTAGTGGCAAACACTGAACACAAAATCCTACGATAAAAGGAGCAGCTTTCTTCACTTTCTATGGTTAGTATTAGAACAAAGCTGTCAGCTGGCCAAAGAAGATACAAGATGGAAAGTATTATGGTTCCAGAAAAAAGGAGAGCCTGAGTATGCAAAATTGCTTTCAGCCCATCATTTCCAAACTAGGGTTCACTTATCCACTGTATCCAAGTAGAATTCAGGAGTAATACAACTAAAGTAAAAGGCAAAATGTCCCTCATTCTCAGGCAGCAAATACAAGTCAAAGCTGCAAGGATTCAGGGAAACAGGCAGCTTTAAATCAGTATGAACAGATGCCTTCTTATGATCTGCAGGTCCTTTCCAACCCTAACTATTCTATGATTTTGAGACAATCAAACTATAATGCTGCCATCACATATTATTACAGCATTTAATGAGTTGCCAGTACAGCTCAACTGTTACAAATGGTCTTCAGTCTACTACTTTGTTGTCAGCAAGACAAATGGTCACTGCTTTCCAGACTTGGCCACGCAGTCACGCCTTTATCTTGGCAGTGGCTCTGGCCATCGGGTCTCCTTGAGCCTGTTCGAGATGTTAAAAATCACCCATCCTGAGTTAGACAAGCACCCAAGTGGCACTAGGAAAGCACACTGGGAGTGAGGCCTCCCCTTCCAGAAGTAACAAGCCATTAGGTTCTGTTTACTTTTTTGTGAAACCTCACCCAGAGTATGCTCCATTTCAGTGCAAAGGCAGCCATGTTTGCTTTATGTCCAGCAAAATGAGTCTAACAAAACCTGTAGTAAAGAGCAGTAGACTTGTAGACAATCACTTATAGCATCTGACATGCATGAGTGGTAAGAGAAGGCAACAGTAACACCTTAAACGCTCCAGCAAGGTGCTCGGCATTTGAAAGAAGATATATCATATACTCTTCTGAGGAAAACAGCCCCTCTGGCTGTGTGGACCATACAGTCCATGACAGTGTCACAGCCCAAGAACTGCAGTAAGTACTCAGAACTGCACTGGGCCTTGAAGACTACAAATACATGTACTAGTGTTCAGAAGTACCAGCAGTATGTAAGTGAACAGGGAGGGGAGGCATACTGAAGAACCACAAACTGGAAGTTTTTAACAGTAATTTTAGCAATACACTATGTAAACATTACCAGTGATAATACAGAAAGCTCTCAGATTTACATCAAAGCACAAAAGAGGAGAAAGCTGAAAGTATTAATTACCTAAGATTCCCATTAGCACTGCTGGTTCCTTGGATGGAATTTGTTGTAGAAAAGGTAAAATATCATCAAGCACAAACCATTTGTCCAAGTACTCCAAAATCTTGCCTAAGCACACTAGTGAGTTTACCCGGACCTGTGAAGTTTGACAAGAACTAAATAATTACTGTATTTTTGCCTAAGAAGAAAACCCAACCTTACAAAATTCAGAAGAAAACAAGTGCTACTGAAACTACAAACTTCATATCTGAAAATTCAAGACAAGTTAAAAAGACCCTTTTTGCATCATGAAAGGACAATACATATAGTTACCCACTGCTCACAACATTTTGCTTTTTCTGCAGGACAAACAGTGTTAATGTATATTACTGTTGAAGACACCAACATTTTTACAGTATTATTAACACAGTAAGTTGTTCAAAACTTTAAAAATTGTTAGAGTAAAAAAGCAAGTGGTGCTTTTGTATCTGTAAAAATTGAAGAGAAATCTCAAAAAGAAATCAGAGCACACTAATGGGCTTTTCTTGAAAGACACAACAGCTGAGAAGTCAAAGTAATTAAAGGTAACAATATTATGTGCAGACTGAGAGATAAAATTATTAGGATACTTACAGCAAGAGAAGAAGTTTGCAAACAGGCATTTTTAATTCTTGGAATTAATGAATTTTTCATTGATGGGTAATCTATTAAATTGGCAAATGTGGGAATTATGTTTAGACAAAGCTCCTATAAAAAAAAATCCACATAAGTTTGAAAAGAAACATGCATGTTTATTATAAAATTAGTATCAATATTACTCAAGATCAAAATTAGTTTAAAATGTCTCCTTATCTTTCCTTTTAAGGAAATATTTAAGGAAATACCATGTTCAGATAAGCTGACCTTAATCTATCAGACTCATTTAAATATAGCTACAATAATAAAGCATCATGGTATGTAAATAGAACAAAAATGGAAAACAGATTTCAAAAAGAGTGTAAGTTTATAATAAAATATTTGTATAGCAGGAATATCTTGCGTTTTCACTCAACACTTTTCTATAAAAAGACAACTTTTACATCACACTATAACATTTTCCTACGTAAGTTAAGCAAATCTGAATGAGACTATCAACAGCACTGCAGCAGCACAACGATAGGCCAAAAGATAAAAAAAGCATATCAAGATCAAATATAGTTAAGCAACAGAGAAAAAACAAACAAAACTGATTTCAGCCCAACCTCAAAAAATAAGAGACAGCAATATTAAGTATATGTTGCACATAAATGCCCGAGTAACCAAACTACTGATGTGGAAAAAAACCTAATGTCAGGTATTTAAAAACAAAACCCTTTCTCTGTAACACTGCAAAGGCTTTGCAAAGGTCAAAGTCACATCTGATTATCCAAATCCTTCTTGAAGGAATATTTTGTTTGTTATCTCCCCCTTCAACTCCTGAATGCCTTTGGGTAGCTGGAAGTTAATTCCAGTATAAGATTTTTATTTTTTTTTTTAAAAGGTTAGAAAACATACACAGAAATATTAAAATATAGATACATAAAAATTCCATCAGGAGGTATATTAATATGATTTTACAGCAAATCTTCCAAGGTAACTGTCAGCACACATGTTCTGACCAGTAGGACCTCAGAATGAGCCACCTCTTGACTGGTAAGAGCATGCATGCCTGCATAGTTTCTGCTGCATCAGCAATGTAGTATAAATGCATATTCTACTTTTTGCTATGGTGGCAAGTAAGAACTTGGAATAAGAGCATTAGAACAACAGTCATGTGGTCATTCCCTGGAAAATAAGGTAACTAGATTTTATTTAAAAAAAACCAAATTTTCTTTCAATATTCAGGAAAATATTACACAGCTTTATCTTCTCCCCCTCAAGTAAACAAACACATGTATACAAGAAGTTGGGACATCAGCTTAAAGAAAATAGGAAAAAAAATGTTTTAAGTAAAGGCTGCAATTACTACACCTGGATCTGAATTGAAGGGGCTTCTAAGGCTCTATAAACCATTGGTAGAACACTGTTCTTTATTTCATCTGGTGGAGTTTTGGTTAGAAGCAAGTCCATTTTTTGCAGGAATATCAACAAGATCTATAAAAAGAACACAGTTTAGAAGCCAGAAATTTTAAGTTCAGAAACATGTACTTAAAATTTAAAGTGTGATTATCATATCATAAAAATTTCAAAAGTTTTCTTGTAACTCAGTAAATGTGATCACTTACCATGTTGCTTGCCTGAAGGCATGGAAGACAAAAAGAACTTTGACATATTACTGTACTTTAAAAACAGCAAATACAAATCAAACAAAACATGCATGTTCTAGACTATTCCTTCTAAGTAAGAAATCATAAACCTAAGGAAGGATTTCTTGTTTCTATTTACAACATGGTCTTTTAAAATCCACCCACAGAAAATCTTCATACACACTGCTGTCAAAAAAGCTGAACTTCAAAAAAACTATGGCTCAAATACTGTCCTCAAAGCATTTGATCACAACTCCACATAAAAAAGCTCTATTCCCTTTGTATCTAGAATCAAAATAGGGACACAATGAAAAGAATATTACAGCTACTATATGGACACAAACTACCTTTATTCTAGTTCATATGGAAATTGTGTATCATAAAATCCCCTCCCTCCCCCCAATTTACATCACATTAACCTAAAAAGCAAAACCAGGATAGCACTGTTACATAGTGGGATTCACCTTGCTTAGGCTTAGCCATCTGAAAGTTAATTGCTATTTGAAGTTACTTATCCAGGCTCAGTCTCCAATGCAGAGAGCTACATAACTCATAATATTCAAAACTCGTAACTCTCATCTCATCTCAGATAGGTAAGATGACTTGCTATAGGTGACATTGACTATCCATTGATAATTTAGACTCATTTCAGAAAACAGGTTAGACTAGATGGATAAATTGTGGTGAATTCTATCACATGAATAATAAAAAGCCACATATTTAATAGGAAGAAACTATTTCAGTTTTGAAGTCTAAAAATATGTAGCAATCAGTGCTTTTATATAATTGTTTCTGCAAATCTGAAAAAGACATGAATGAAACTTGTTATTTAACAAGAAAAGCTCCTTTGAAATATGAACCACATGTTTGAACATAAAACAGACTGCTGTCAAGTTAAACATTGTACTAATACAGTCATTTAGATTACGCAGAAGCAGTTCAGCTGTTTTTCACTGGCTGTCAATGCTTTTCAACTCAGATAACAAAGCTGAATCATTTTTGATCTCTTACTCTACTTGTCTTTAACTAGAATGTTGAACCGCTTTCATTTTTAGCTGTCTAGGATAATATTTGATACTTTTTATCTATTTAAGTAGAAACTAAGATATTACAGTCACAGATTGACATACACCATCTAAAAAGCAAGCAGCAGCACTTGCACTCTGAACAATAATGCTAAAGATGTACTTCATTCATTAATACCGAGCCCAGTACTTGTCAATGTACTGAATTTGGTGTACTGAATTTGGTGTACTGAATTTGAATTTGCAGCACAGCGTATGCAAACTCTCTATGGATTCCCCTAGCTATAAATCAAGGGTTTCTCTACACTGGGAAGCTATGTAAGAGTAAGCCAGGATGTTAATTTACAGTACACCAGTTAGTCTCCAAGAGTATGATATGAATGAGTAGTGTAACTATTCCATTTTCACATTATAAATTCCCTCATACAAAGTCATTGTGAACTCTGGATAACAATTTCTTTATACTGAATTACAGCAGCTTCCCTAGGATACATTCACTTCCTAACTTAAGCATCCTCTGAAAGCCAAGCAATAGGTCAGCCCCTCATACAAATCCAAAACGTCTTGAGGGACTGTTTGAAAGTAACATTGGCACCTTCTCTGTCCGTGCCTCTCCATGAGTTACAAACACACAGGAACAGAACATTTTTGCCTTGCACAGTCAGACCTGGAATTATGTCCTCTGGCATTCTGAACCCTTACATATTTTTTCCTGAATACCGGGTATATTAAACTTTCAAAACCTATTGTAGATTACTTAAACTTTGCCATACTGAAAAGACTATAGAGTAACAGTGGAATAAGTCATCTACTACTTAGTGTGCACTAAAAATGTCAACAAAAGGATTTAATATACAGTATCTAGAAAACTACAGAAAAACATTGCAAAGCTTGCTCTTTATGAGCTGACCCCAAGTCTGTATTTTGCTTCTCTCATTCCCCACGAAATAAACCAGTACTTGTGGCCATTATGCTCCAAATACAAAACTTTTGAGCAAACTTTTTGCAGTAAGTATTATCTCTCAAATCTGATGTTAAAGGTAGCAAAACAGAATGCTACATTTTAGGATGAAACAGCACAAATTAGATGTTCACTGGCTTTTGAACAGTTAGACGTTTCATTTTCCAGTACAACAACAAAGCTAACATGAAGCCTCATTGTATCAAAAGTGAACAGCACTAAGTAGTTCTAATTTTCTGAGGTATTCCCAGTTACACAATTTCCCCTTTCCCCCATCCCCTGTACAACGAGAGTTCTCTGATCTGGTTTTCTGAAACCCAGAAGTAAAAGGTCAATTTGTTCATTCCATGTTATCTTGCTCCTTCAGTGCTTTGCAGTGAAATAATAGCATCCAGCAGTAAAACAAGGTGAGCTAGAAGGAATGCACAGCTGCCTTTTATCTGTGGAGGCACAATGTTTATTATCAATAAATAGTACTCTTAAGAGAGTGTCAGTTACAACTTTTCCACTCCACCCAGTGTCAGCAATGTGGATACAAGGGGTCAGGGGAGGGTGTGTGTGGGAATAATTATAGGTTCAGCTGCTGTTAGAGTATGTGCAAATACTGTACTGTACAACCCTGCTCAGATTGGCTAGATAAGTTATAAAATGCTTACAAACATACCTTCTACAATCAACCAAAATAAAGAATCGAGTGGTAAATTAAATTTTTCCTTTTTTTTTTTTTTTTTGCTAACGTAATCTCTTCTAAAAATGCAAAAATACCCTCAGAAAACCCATATGAAAAAGCAGAGGTAGAGGCTTTGTGAATTTCCTGGAAAAAAAATCTATTTTGTATGAAGCAAGACTGACTGTCTGGACAACTACGGAGCAGGCTGGGAAATCTGTGTGAAGCTGGAAAAGGGAAATAGGACAATTAGTCATTTTTCAAGGAAAAAAACACCAACGAGAAAAACTGTAGTCTGAACAATATTAACATACCTGGATTGGTTCTTGCTGCTTAAAAACAGGACCAAGATCAGGCAGAATAAGCCTGACATACTCTTCTTTGGTGCATTCCTCAGCAATTAGGAGAACATTAGGCAAGACAAAAGGTACCATATCAGGATTCACAAATTCAGAAGTCAAGCAGGGCAAAATTCGCTGAATTATAACACGCTAAAAAAAAAAAAAAAAAAAAAGCATGCATCACATTGTACTGCATTGCAGTAAGTTACTATTGTGCCAGCTCAACAGCTTTTGCATCAATCTCATTCTTACAAAAAAGTAGACAGACAATTTTCAGTTTTGAACTCTTATTTTCACAGTACAGTCTAGCTAATTTACACTGTGATACTTTGCTTACTTTTCTCTGTTTGCACTCAAAAACATAACTGAAGATTATAATTGTGAAGGTCACCAAAAGCAATTAACTGTACAGAAAACAGGACTTTCAGCCACACATGTTAATTATGGAAACCCTATTCTATATGGTTTCTTTTAAAAGACCCTAAAAAAGACCTTATCAGCCCATAAAAAAAATTAGTCGGTTCTTCAGTATCCCATTGCTTATCGAAAAAACAGATAACCCTACTATGCTTCCCTGTAAATCTCCAGGTACATTCCCTAAACAGGATTCTGCTGATGAAATACATATTTACACTGCAGATGTCTAGAGCAGACATCCTTATATGCTTTTAAAGTCATTAAAGAGAAATACACAATTCAAGGCCACAGTTCATTTCCTCATAAAATGTACTTACCAAGTCAGAACAAAAAAAAAAAAGCTTATTAGGTCAGCCAGTGGCTGTCTGAAGTTATGTGAAATACATTCCAGTTTCAAATTCAGAGCATCAATGATTTTTGATCAAAGAAAAAAATAACAAAGTAAAAAGAACAGACTAGGAAACATGAAATCTGAATTTTGCACTGTGTAGTTCAAAACAGAATTAAAAATAAAGAAATTTAATGCAGTGGTTGAGAAAGTAAGCTATTCTATTATGCATTAAACTACATATGTACTTAACTGCATTTTCTACCACATATACATTATGGCTTACATTAATTAGACAATACCACAAAAGGAAAAGAAGCCAGTCTAGACATAGCGTCTAACAGTACACAGAAGAAATCTGTAATGACAGACATTTGCCTTCGAGGTTTCTGGGCACTGCTAGCAGAAGAAAGTACTTAGTCTGTTGAGGGAAGGAAGTTTTGCATCATTCAGCATTGAAACACTGCCTTGCTATGAAAAAACTTGAAGTAATCTTACTGGGAGAAAAGGTGGCAACAAGACTTCAAAGAGCTATGATAGCATCTGGAAACAAAGGGAAAGCCTTTTAAGTGGAGACAACTCCCTTCCAAAGTGTTAAGTACAATAGTTCACATACTGATAGCACAACTTGACACTTTCCATTTAAAAAATAATTGATAGCTGACGAGTATTTCCACACCAATTATTCACTTATGTCCCCTTCTTTCCTACTACTCTATTCTGTCAGTCCCATGGCAGTATTTTATGCTGGATGCTACATAAGTCCAGCATTCTGAGATTTGGTATGTTAACAGACGTTCAAATGCTTTTAAACTCGCTATTTCAAGGCATCATACATACATACCTTAGGTAGTTTTGGCAGAACCTTTGGTAGCCCTTTAAAAAACTGTGATTTCTGAAGGTTATCCCTTTGAAATAATGAATCAAAATACTGAAGGGTCATTGCTCCTACATCATCAAAGAATGGTATCTAAAAATAAGATTAAAAAGCTTGTGATCTGGAGGGAGACAATACTGACACTGTTATAAAGATTCCAAAATATAATCATCTATTTATCTTTTCAATGCACTATAGTAAACCTTTACAATGATGTGCCTGCAACAATTAGAAAGACATTTTTACATACTATGTAGTATAATATTCACAGATAAAGGTTGGTTATTAAGATAGAATTTTAAAGAAACCCATGCATGTTATGTGTCTCTAACTTTTTGTACATGAAATAGTCTTTTGTCTAAAAAAACTGAATAAGAAGTAAAAACCTTGACTGAAAGTTCTCCTAGGAATAATTATGCTATTTAATATTATGACAGACGATTACCTACTAGATCAGATCTCGCTATCAACCCTGGAAACTTAGAATGAATCAACAAGCATTTATATGCAATATATGTTAACTATATAAATCTTTCTCCAGTGTTCAGACCCATTTGTAAATCCTGTCCACTATAATTTCATACATGATCTCCCATGTTTACATTACTTCAGCAAAGAGGGCGCAGGCCTTCTAAAGTATTGTGTAACAATATTGCATGGGTAAAACTCCTCCTTCCTGCTAGCTCTGTTTAGAGAGGGATATATCAAACCTCATGGGCTCGCAATAGTTAAAGACAAAGCATGGTCTCTCAGACTATTTAGACACTTTTGTTTCCATTGAAAAATTTGTGTAAAAAGAAAGGATATAAACATTTAAAGAAGCTCTGCTGTAAGGCAGAAAGAGAAGCCACTAAGAGCAATAAAGAAAAAAAAGAGAATTAGAAAAGTAGACTGGAGTAGGGCAATACAGATGAAAAGAATCTGTCAGCAGAGAATTCAAGTTAGTCTGTACTATGGACTTAAATTCTGTCTTCTAGATCACACACCAAAACACATGTGATCATGGAAGTCTACAGAGGTTAACACAAACTAGTTAAAACTAGCAAGGTAAACTTGCCTTGTCAAGCTCCATTTTCGCTCATGTCACGATGGCCATAACAAACTGCTTTTGGAGCTAAAGTTCTAACATCTTTACCCTACACTTAGGTCTGCAGTATACAATGTGGTAAAAAAGATTTAACATCTTCATAAAATGACACTGCTTAATACAACCATTTACAGATTTGTTCATTGCAGTCCTTCAGACAAGTGAGTTGACACCTGCATAGTATCTGCCAATTTCCTCACCTCCCATCTTTTGGCACACATGTTTGCAGAACCATTACCTGTTTCCCTCCCTTCTTCACTCACTATTTCTTCCAACTGTTAAGAAACTGATTTCTCTCACTGCATACAAACTTTTTATATGACAGGAAAAGATGAAAATTGTTTAGCTAAGCAAATTTATAAACAGAAACCCGAAAGGCTATCAGATATGAGAAAAAAGGGCATATGACAAAGGAAGAATAGTGTTTTTACATTCTAGTTTCAGACAGGAAAGCGGAGGAAGAGTTTGTCAATTAAAATTTCAATTATCCTACTTGAAATTAATTCTTTATTATTGTAAATAACTCCAAATATATTTTAAGCTATTCTTCTGCATATTTAGGAATATACCAAAAATCATCAAGTCAAAAGTTAATCCTTAAATTTACTGCCCTTTATCATTTTATGGCTTTAAAATCCTTCCAATACAGTTTTAAAGACTGAATTGTATAAAAACACAGTGTAGAAAAAAAAATCCAACTGTACTGGAAAGCAACAAAACAGTGTTGTATTGAATGATTATTCTAAGTTCTGTCTCAGCATCCACTTCTTCCATATTAATAAAGGTCAGCATAAGGACAACTTTTGGCATCAACTGACATCATTATTTCCAAAATAGTGAAAAAGTATTTAACATTTCAACTAAAATTATTAACAGGGAACCACTTTAAAATAGTTCTATTGTTTCTACAAATCAAACACTATTTTTCCTCTTTTCTATGGCTACCGTATTTTCCATGAACTGACCTTAGTCATTTGATCTGCATCTGGTCTGACTGCTGGAGCTACATTTAAAAGTAGCTTTACATGTTCACGCACTTCCTCTGGTATATTCTGAAGAGTACTGGAGCTTAAGCGGCTCAGCTGTGTAAGTAATTTAAGCACAGGGACCATGAAGTCAGAAAATCCTGCATGTAACTACTTCGAAGATATAATAGGACTAAACCGTCCTCTTGATGGCTTCTCTACCCACACCTTTAATATCCCTCCCTTCCCTCCTTTCATAACCTATTTGCTTCTGATCCCTCATAGTCTTCTTTTTGTCTCCCAACAGTCTACCTGCTTCAGGTCACATTCCCCTATTTCCAACTTGTCATTGTGTTCAGGTTATCAGAGAACACAAACCCAGTACTTTTAAACAGGTACATGTTATTATTTGAGGTGTTGTCTACACACATTAAAACACAGTACACACAACTAAGACAACAAGCACCCAAAGAAATTATGCAAAGGAAACTCGCATGTGAACATACACTACATCAGCTGATCCAAGTAACTGTCTTCTGTTAATATTTATACTCCACAAAGAATGCGAAAGAGCTGATAGCTAAGTGGATACTAATTGCAGTGTCAAGTTATCAAATCACTCTGAACTCAGCCATCTTCAGCAGTCCTACACAGCCTTGTGTTCCACAGTTTGTCCCAACAGGTAAACTACTTACTCCAGAAGATAAGCACTCAACAGGTTTACAGAGAATCAGGTGAAAAATGAAATTTGTAGTTTATAAAATTGGTACATGTAATCTTCTCTACATATATTTTTGTTTCCCATATTTTGATAGCATTCTTTTTTCTTGTTACAAAGTTAGCATCCAAGGTAAGATACCATTATCGGATTGTTTATGTCGGAACACTGGTAATATATTCTAAATATTTAAATCTATTTTAAACCAGTAACTTTTCAAATATGAAAATCAACAAACAATAGTCACAAATAGAGAAAATACCTGATCCAGCTGTCTACTAAAGCTTTTATAAATATCCTGCTTGTTGACCTCAAAAATTGGTTTCCCTTTATTAAACACTGCATACATAACACCTCCTAGAGAGTACATATCACTGGCTGTCTCACAGCTCACAGAGAGAATATATTCTGGTGCCAAATATTCAGGATTTGGAAGACACAAGGAAGGCAAGTTTGGATCCCATTCCTTACAAGGGAACTTTGGCTACAAAAGAAGAAAGTACATTCATTACGGATTCTTAAAGAACACTTTAGATAAGAAACTCATGCAGCAACAAAATAATTAATGTGCTCAAATTCCATTATAAATATAACAAATGGAGTAAGGCAACGGTCAAGAATCTATGTCTGTAGCTTAGAGCGATTAGGTGATGCAGTTAAATCTGAATATTAGAGCTGGGAAGTGTAATGTAAAAATCAAAGCACTGCTGTAAGGGGGAAACATGAGTTATGATGGGAATTCATTTTAGGAGGTAGCGACCAGGCACTGAAGCAGATGCTATAGACTAAATTAGCTAGCTTTGCATGCCATCCAACATGCAGGTGAGCAGAAGTAGCACAGGCTTCAGCCTCTGTCTGAAACCATCACTAGTCTATTTTGACTCCACTAAGCCAACTCAGGCTCTTTTTTCTGTGATGACCAAAGGCAGCACTTCAGTCCAGACCTGTGCCATATGTTCAAACTTCCTGCCAACAAAATATAGAGATGGATATTAAATAAATGATTCACTACTGAAATGCAAGGTCATGAAACCGGTTTCAGACAAAGCTCTGAATTTTAAATCTAGTGATGATAAATGTAAAGATCTATTACCTCCTGCTCAGATGGATTTGTTGACTGGATACAAAAATCAAAGCCCATAATTTTCCATGCTCCACTTTTATTCAAAATTATATTTTCAGGAGTAATATTTCCATGGACCATTTTCACACTGCTATGCAAAAATGACAAGCCTTCAGAAACCTGTTAATAAAAGATTATTATTTCAGGTCAAGTAGTTCCCCAAATATCCTGTAAGACATTTACAAAAAATCTGTTCCTGTGGGCATGGTTCAATTGGTAAGTTAACTAAGAAACAATTCTTCACTATTATTTTAGGCTATGTCTTAAAAGTTATGTAGGAGTGAAATTAAACACAAATGGGTAATCAGCAGATGGGATTACTAATGCCGATTAACCATCACAGTGTAAGAACAAAAATGCTTTTCAAAGTTGATCAACATATTCACTAGATAAAACCTAGGAGCTACTGCTCCTCCACAGAAGGTAAAGAAAAGATTTACATTTGGGAGAGACAGCTGTAGCATACATATTTATATGGGAAATAAAAATTAATTCGATTTTGTATTTTCCATATTGGAATAAGCAAAACCAGTTGCAACTTAAGAGAACCTCCAGCGTTCATCCTCTCTTACACTTACAGTGCTGAGGGCACTATCATCTCCCACTTCCCAATTTGATTTACTATAGGCAGACAAAACTTCGGCAGATTACAAACTTTATAAAATAATCATTAATACCAAAAGTGTAAGAAAATTATAAGGACAATCTGTGTCATACCTGAAGCAAACCGTATTTGGTCTCCACATCATAAAGTTTGTATTCTTTAATGTCAGATGGTAAAGGAGAAGGTAGGTTGTCCCAGCTGCCAAGAACGTTAGCTAAACTTGCACACACTGGTTCTGTACAAAATGCCAAGCAATCCCTGTAGAGGACATACATAAAAACGTTTCTTGCAAATAAATGTAATATATCTCTTTACTGAGAATTAAGAACCATACAAACATCAGATTATACTTTACTTTTTAGGTGTTGAAATAAAACTGTTTTATTTCAGGATTTGTATTCTTATAAGCAATTTATACTGAAGAGAAATATATATATATCTGAAGTATTAAAAAATACTAGTTTAATCTAACATTCATGTGATTTATTACTGTCATTTAATCTAACATTCATAGACTCATGTGAATCTAACATTCACATACATCACTAACGATGCACACAATGCTTCATAAAAAGACTTATAAAACAATCATTTTCTTGCCCTGATCCAGGAAAATTAAACAATTCTTACGATTATTAAAACTTGTAAAATCAGGCTTTTAGCTGCACCTAAAACAGACACATCCCTGACTGAAGCTTACTTAATGTGGCCAAACAATGATAATAAATAAAACTAAGAAAATGTTAAGGTAGCACCTGAATATTCTTTTAGTTTGCAAATGAATAGAAGAGGTACAAACACAAATAAACTTGTTGTATGAACTGCAGTTTGCATGTGAAGTGACTGTTTTCCAAATTCTTTTATCTACTGTTTTCTTCATGAAAAACTACATATCTTGCTTATGCATTTTTTGTATTAACAGTATTTGAAAAGTACAGATGAAGCACACTTCTGCACATAAAGCGCATCGGTTGTAACGCTGAACTTCAAAATTGCTCTGACTGCTGTTATTTTGAGGGAATAAAAAGGTGGCAGTTTCCTTTTTACTTTAGGAGCAAATTAAAGAAGAACTCAAACCAGAGTAATGGAAAGATAGGGCAAGTGTAATTAAAGAAACTGAACGCTGCAGAAGCTGATGTCTGCCATACTGTGCAGCTTCTTTAACAGTTCCCTGACTAATATCAAGATGGAATTCAGAGTAACATATTAAAAAGAAAACAAGTTAAAATGGCCAAAAAAAGTATATGCTTTGGGAGAAACTGCAACAGATGGAAAGTCTAGTAATTAAGTATCTGAGACTCCTCAAACTACTACTATTTTTAATGGGTAGTAATGACATTATAAGTGAATTTAAAATTTGGCTTTTTTATCCTTTTCTCCAAGAATAAGTTAAATATAGAATAATATTACTCATCTGTGCTATTACTGGAATTCAAGACCAGTTGTAAGTAAATGTAGTTATATGAAATATTTAGAATAAATGAAGAGTTATTAATTATGTAAATGCATGTAAAATGTACACATTTTTATATGTATAATATATATTTATATGAAATATAATTATATTGAATGCCAATAATAATTCGGACTAGGAACATTCTATTAATAGTGGAAAAGCTACCACTTTACACACTAGGGCCATAAATGTATGGCCTTTCTTGCAGGTTGTCCTGGGTTCAGCTACAGCAG